GGGGGGGCTGCGCTTACACCTCCTACCTCCCTAATTATGGAGCACTGTGGAGCCTTCATGTACTTACACACACACACACACACAGACCAAAGCTCCCCGAGGAGCGCAGTAGGAAAGTTTGGTGCACAGAATGTTTCCCTCCATTTCCTGGGGAATCAGGTACCCTTGACACTTCTCTGTATTCCCCAACTGCAGGCATCCCGGGTCCCTAAACCCCTAGGCCCCTCCTCAGGCTTGAGTTCCTGGGGCCTTAAAGAATTTAATACCTTGGAAAGCCTGCTGCCTGGTGTGGTGGAAAGAACACTGGACTCAAAGTCAGGACTTGGATTCAAATCCCAGTTCTACTTCTTCCCAGGTGGCTGAGCTAGGAGAAGTTATGTGATTGTTCTGAGCCTCAGTTTCCTCGCCTATAAAATGGGAGTGGTAACCCTGGGTCTCTCGGGTGGTTCTAAAGATTGAGATTAGAGATGTGAAGAAACAGTGTCATAAAGAGCAGGCCCTTAGTTAATACTAATTCCACCCAAGTGGGCATCTGATGAGGTGGCGTGTGGTAGGAGCCCAGAATAACCTGGGACTGAGAAGAGTTGAAGTGAACCACATAACTAGTCTATTACTGCTGGTTAGAGAACAGCCTTTGGGGGAGAGACGGGGGGAAACAGCAGGTAGGAAAGTGCCAGCTTGAGAGAGGGCTGTGGACTTATGGTTTCTCTCCTGCTATTGTGAGCTGAATTGTGTTCTCCCAAATCCACATTCTAGGAGCTGTGTGGGGAAGGGAGCAGGCCTGATAATTGAGCAGCACTTTAGAATGTGGCTGTATTTGGAGATAGGGCCTTTATAGAGGTAATACAGTTAAAATGAGGTCATTAGGGTGGGCCCTAATCCAACATGACTAATGTCCTCATAAAGAGATTAGGACACAGAACAGGGACAGAGAGAAGACTATGTGAAGACAGCCATCTATAAGCCAAGGAGAGCAGAATCGGAAGGAACCAACCCTGTCAACACCTTGATCTCAGACTTCTGACCTTCAAGACTGTGAGAAAGTAAGTTTCTGTTGTTTAGGCCGCCCAGTCTGTGCTCCTTTGTTCTGACAGCCCTAACGCTCCTGCCCTATGGTCAAATGAATGCGTTTCCAATTGTAGAGGATCTCGGGTGGGTGGCACCTGAGGTTGGAGATGCAGTGAGGCGGTGGTCCTGCTCCTAACAGGTTAGACCTGTTCATTGGTTTTGTCAAAATCTGGAGACCAGTTTCATTTTAAGAGGACAGTGGCTAAACAAAGCATTAAAAAGGAGGGGGCCAAGATGGTGAACGAACTCAAGGTCATGCCAATGAGACAACTCAGCCTCTCTAAGCATCTGAAGGCCTTTCTAATTATCATTGTGGTCCCAGGCAGCATAGAAGCCCTCAAAGAACAGTGAACAGTGGGTGGTGTGGGTGCTGTGGAAACGATCCAGGCCACAGGGGCATGGGACTTTAGAACCATCCTTCTCAGACCTGAGCTTCTATGATTCTACAGCCTTAGCTCCACACCCCTCCATGGCAACTGATCCTATTTCTCAGCTCTTCAGACCCATTTCTTTTGTGTTTGTGAGTGTGTCTGTGCATGTGTATATGTACACACTCTATCCAGCCTCCACCATCAGACTGGGAACTCCTAATAGGGGTGATCACATCTCCTCCTACCTCCACATCTGTCTGCAGTGCCTGCTCTCATCAAGCTAATCACAACTGGTTTCTCTCCTCTGAAAGGTCTGAGAGCCCAGAAAAAGAGAGGAAACAATTCCCCAGGCTCTTTGCAAGGCCTCCCTGCTGGAATGGGTTCAGCACAGCTGGGCAAGTGGAGTGTCCTGTGGGCATACTCAGGGCCTAGTGGCCAGGAATCTGAGGAGGGGCCTGCTGGCAGCTCCTCTCCAGCCCTGCACAATGCCTCAGTTCTTTGAGGGGCTGCACTGTGTGAGTTAGCAATTGCAGTCTTTAGATCTCTGAGTGTGGCTGAAGCCACCTGGGGCCAACAGGAAAGTGAGGCCACGGAGGATGAAAAAGGGAGGACCCTTCTGCCCAGCACCCTCTCCTTGGCCCCAGCCCTCCCTGGGAGGGGCCTGAGCTTCATGACACTGGGACTTTGCATGCACGAGGGTATTAATAATTCATACAAATCTGCAAGTTAAATGCTGTGTCAAAAATAGAAATGCAATTGTCTACAATAAAATTAAAAACATAAAGTCCCTGAATCCAAAGCTTCTATCAACAGAGTTTCCTGTATCCTGGAGGAACAAACTTCTCACTGTGCTGGGGAGAAAAACAAATCTCTCCACGTACTGGCTTCCTCCCTGTCCCCTCTTTGATTCCCAGTCTCAGTCAGTCTTCCGGACCCCGTCCTGATGGTTTTGATCTGACCTCATTGCCTGACCTTACTGCCTGCTGCTGGGCCTCTGAGCACCCAGCCGGAGGGTGCCGGGATTCTGGAAGCTGGCTGCAGGTGACAGGGCCTTTCCAGAGTGTGAGTCAGGGTGGGAGAAATGGGCAGCTGTGGGAGAGGCGGCGGCAGCCCCTTTGTCCTCCTCAGAAGATACAGACAGACAGACAGACAGACACCAAGGGTTGGGCTTCAGGAGTTAGGAGACCTGGATTCTAGCTCCACCTCCCTCTTAACCAGCAGTGTGACCTTAGGCAGGTCACTCAGCCTCTGGGCCTTGGCTTCCTCACCTGAGAAAGGAAAGTTATTCATATACCAGTGGTGTTCAAACCTTTAAAAGCTGGGAGACCCTATTTGCATGTGAAATCTTACCTAGAACCTCAGTAGAGAAAGTATGCCTAGATTAAAATGGAGAAGTGGGAAGGTGTGGGAGCCAGAGTTCTAATTATTAGGATCCCCACCCCCACTCTCATCCCTCAGAAACCCAAGGGTTCTCTGAAACACAGAAGGAAATCCTATGGTCCCAATCAATTATTCCCAAATGCATACCTGCAAACACAGTTGGCTGCCACAGAATCATCTGGGAGCTTATTAAAAACAGAGATTCCCCAGGCCCCAGAAGATCTCTGGTGGATCCTAGGAATCTGCATTTAACCCCAGCCCCCAGTGACTCTGGTGTGCAGCCAGGTTTGGGTGCTGCTGGGTTAGATGATCCCCCAGGTCCTTTCCTGCCCTAAAAAATTCTGGCAAATCTGTGCTTGTGTCAATGGGCCCTGCAGACATCCTCCTGTCTGCCCCACCCCACCCCCACCCCCACTCCCTGCCCGTGACCTAGACACGCACAGCCTCCTGAAATATCCTGCTCCTGCTCAGCAGCCCTGTCCTCTTTGGCTTTGCAAAGCTTCAGGCCCCAGGGTGAGGCAGCCAGCTATGTCATTGAGCTTTCCCCCAAACAGGAAAGTCAGTGACTCGCTGCCTCTGAGAAGTGTGGGTCTGTGGAGAGTGAGGAGGGGCACTGACAGGTGGAGCATGTTGGCTAAAAGGAGGCTTGTGGATTGTCTGTGGCATCCAGATAACACAACCAATTGTCGAGCGCTTGAGTTTTCAAGGCACTTTGGACATGCACTGCCTCACCTGAGCACTCACCGACCACGGCAGCTAAGAAGGGCAGGGCTGTTGTTGCCAGTTTTGCAGATGAAAAAGCAGAGACCAGAGTAATTAAGGGTTTTTTCAGGGTCAGCACTGAATGTGAAACCTAAATTTAGGGCTAAGTTATAAATCCCACCCCCTTTCCCACAAGGGTGGTTCTAAGACTCCAGGCTGCATCAGAATCATCTGGAACACTTGTTATAATGCAGATTCTGGGGCCCACAGAATTAGAATGTGTGTGTGAATGTAGGGGATAGAGGCTGAGAATCTGAAGTTCTATAAATGCAGGTGATCCATACCCTGCTCTCTCCCCACCTCCCCCCATCCGTACACCATGCTCTTTCTTCCACTTTTGGTCCAGAATCCATGGCAGCCCAAGTGAGTACCTATGCCCAAAGACAGAGCTAATCTATGAGAAAAATTCAACAACTTGGCACATGAGGGACCACAGGCTCAGAGAGGTTAAGTAGCTTGCCTTGGGTCACACAGCACTTAGATGGCAGACCTGGGATTCAAAGCTGTATCCATGGCAGTGTCTAACGATGCCTATGACCATAAATAGGAGGGAGGGTATTCAGGGTGGGAGAAGAATTTAGCTCTCCAGGATGCGTGTGAACAAGTGATGCTCAGGCCTCTTACAGTGCCCCCCCCCCCCC